AATTAGATTTTTATATTGTATTTATGATGCATACTTATTTTAGAAAAAAACTAAGAGAATAAAATAATTTATATACAAATACAAAACTTTACGATTAAAGTCATTATATTAAAAAAAAATTGTTTATAAAATGTGTACGATATATCTAATTATTTCATTTACAAAATATCAAGAACTGACAAATTTTATTAATTCGAAAATATTGGCATTCAATATTATAATAGTAATTATATGTTATAATATCGATAGTTCCAAAAAATTACATATATACGGTATTATGAAAATTTCGGTTACATTGGTATTTGTGACATTTAGTCGATATAATTAAAGGAATTCAATGTTTTACAAAATAGAGATGTACATAATACAAATGTATAATTACTAGTAAAATTACTAGTATTATTTCAACATTCAGTCCCTGCTTCCAAAGATCTCGAAAAAATTGCATAAAAGAATTGTTAAAATGACGCTTTCAGCGAAATTAGTCTACCCCAAGCTCTAAGCGCTCTCAAATTATTCGTTTTGGCGATTTAATGTCTTGGCGGTGTTCGAATTCGAAGATCGGAGACAATTCATAAATCGGAATACCTGCGAAGTTACGGTTCAATGGAGCTTTCGATTCGGATCTTTCAATAATCAATGATTTGACAATTAACCCTTAAAAACTGAATTTATACTATGTAAATCTATAGATATTTTGTTTTAAATTAGAAAATAATATTTTCCACATATAAACATATATATATATATATAAATAAATTATTTAAATAAAAATATATATAAACATAACATCAAACTCATAATTATGATCATTAAAGTAAAGCCTTAATAATTTCTAAATAACGTTAAGTTTATCATCACTGATGTCACTTTTTGGAAATTAAGGGTTAATTATCAAAACAATTTTTACAAAGAAAGTAAGATATGATCGAACTAAAACAGACTGATATTCTGGAAAAAAAAACAGACTGTTTTCTTCATTTTTCTGTGAATCGCCAGTTACAAAAGAATTGTGAATTACCAGTCACAATTGAATTGTAAATCATAATCAGAAAGTAGAATAATTAACAGAAGAAATAATATTTTACAATATTTTACATTAAAATTTGATTTAATCATATCATACGCTAAGAAAATTTTCTTAAATCCGTAAGAGCTCGTAACCTCGTAATCGTCATCAGCCTATCTCCGGCCTATCTTGAGCACCAGCTCATTTTTAAAAAAAGTTGAAGACGTTTAATGAAACGATGATGAAGCCCTCGCCGACGTTAATCGCACTCGCGGCAATAGTTCCTCGCACCACAATTGCACTAACGTAAATTGGCATTTTTGAAGTACGTATTTCGTCGTGATCTGGCATCATTATGTCTATATCTTATCACAAGTCGTCGGTTCACCCTCTCGTCCTCGGCATGTCGAACATCTGTAACAGAAAGAAAACGAATAATCTTATTCCGGATTGATTTTTACATAAAGTCCCAATTTTTATATACGATAAGTTCTTATTTGAGATTATCGGTGCTTTTTATAATTAATTAAATAATTATTTTTTATTTAATTTAAATAAATAAATATTCCTTACAACAATAATAATTATAAAAGATATTACATTTAGTAAGTAAATATATATGTAAAATATTTGAAAATCTAGCAACTTTTGCGGCAAATTTAGTAACTTTAGCGACATTTTTTTATTCTTTTGAGAAGAAATGTGACTTATTATTAGGCATGATAATTTCGCCCGAAAAAGTCCAGTTTCATAACATTTGAATAAATATAGATTTTCAAATTATCATCGAATATGTTAGTAAGGTCACTAAATCAATAAATAATCGCAATTTTAACGGAAATAATATAAGAAAAAATCACTATTGTCACCGTGTAAGACAATAATAATAAATATCATAATGTTTCAATATGAAGTAATCATGCAATATTTAATTCATTTCTATCTAATGTATTTATATAATTTCATTTTGCATTAGCTTCGATAAATATCTTTGAATTAAAAATAGTACTTTATAAATATATGTATAAAACACACACACGATAGATCAGATATTAAAATTAAAATATTAAGACTAATCTTAAACAGAGTCTGAAACAAAAATACACCGCTAATATTATATATAATATATTTTATTCTAATAAAGAAATATACTTAAAATTATGTAGAACATTTCAAAACCTTCAATCTTCATTCTACCGAGATGTTTATTATCTATCTTATAGGTTTTGCAATTTTAAATATATGTATAACATTTATAAATACAGCTACTTACATCCTATTGGATGTAGCGTTTAAATAATTAGCGTTTAACAAGAAAATTCGGTAATGGGCACTCGATTGGTGCATTAGTAAATTAATTCAATCAGCAAAGATTATTTTAACACGATTTCCCGGAAGACAGAAACTTCTAAGATTGTCCGCCTGCTAAACGGCCGTTTCGGCTATTTTCCACACGCTTGATCTATTGCCCTAAATTGATTCAGCTATGCGACGAACGAGTCCGACTTCGAAGAAGTCGACCATGACATCAACTTTTTCATTCCTGATATTGAAAAGTTTTCCGCAGGCCGCGAGAGCCAGTGAGATCAAAATCCCTCTTTTCCGATCTCTCGACATTCGTCGAAATAGTCGATGACGGTAGCAAGAGACCGAAAGAGATAGTTCTGCAGATTGGTTAAAGAGTGAAGGAGGAGGATCGCAAATCGCGATGGGAAAAATGAGGAAGTAATTTGAGCGAGAGGAGGCGTTATTGGAGAGATGCAAGGAGATGATGTAACTCTGTCGTTATATTAGGTTGTTACAAAAATCGCGTCGATTTCTGCGAGAGTGACTCTCCTTACAAAAGCGCGCGAAACTTTCGTAACACAATTTCCAATGAGATTCTGACAAAAAGTTGTAGACGATGAGCAATGACGCGCAAATATGTGTAATGGGATAGAAGTATTATTAAATGGTTGATAAATGTAACGATGCGAGTCACTCAACAATGATGCGTATTTACTAATCATCGAAATTATAATTAAAAACAGAAATGTGATTTGATAAAGAAAAATATGTATAAGAAACGGGGAGAATTATATATAAATAGTAATCAGTGATACAATAAAGTATAATATAGTAAGTAATAAAAAAACATAATAAAAAAATGTATTGAAAGAAAAAAGACGATCAAAAAATGATAAAAGAATCGAATGAAGAAAAAAAAACAACAACGAAAAAGATCATCAAGAAGAACGGAGTTTAGGAATATAACGATATATGTATGATGCAAATAGATAATAAATATAAAAGATAATATAGAACAAAAGCGAGAGAAGTCGTAATCATTCCTTTCAAAGGAAGAACAAGGATGAGGGAACAAGATTAAGA